AAGACGGAAGTAGTTTTCTCCCTTTAATTAGTTTATGTTGCAATTCACCTTGATACATATCGTTAACGTTTGATTTAAACGATAAACATTTCAATTCAATAAAAATTGTGATTGCTGATTGTAGGACCTAGTATGTGCATTGTATCTATAGCTTATTACTAAATAATATCAATTTCCTGATTCAGATAACCCGATGAAACGAAATATATAAACATAATGAACTTTCCGTGACAAAGGAAAACCAGGACAATAGAAGAGAAGTTAGAGTATCCATCGAACTGGATGACTCTTTTGTTGAAATAGAGGACGCCTCAAACCAATGTGCTTTATGTGCTATTTGTCAAAGAACTTCAGCAAAAAGTACAAATAGCAAAGATATCTCAATTTTCATTCTAGCAAAGAAAGTTGTACCAAGTGTGAGACTTTATGTGATACAGACGAAAAGCTCAAGGAACATGCATCAAAAGCTCACACCGTTTTATGTGCGAGAATTGTAGCGTCGATTATTATACAAAACATTCTCTTCGACGACACGGAATTATTAAGCACGACATAGATCATTCTCATAAAAGGAGTCCTTTTGATTCATGTATAAAAAGAGTGTTCGCACTGAAACACAAACTGGAGCACCATATTAACACCCATTTGAATGTAAACCCTCACAAATGTGATAAGTGTGGCGGAAAGTCGTTTTCTTCACGCCTTGAACAAAATAAGACATTTAATAATATGTAGTGTTTGCAAGCTTCGGTCATTATACATATGTTGTGTGTGTTCTAAAACATTTTCTACTAAATAAAACTTGTATATATACAAACAGTCGGAACATGATACGAAAACGTACCTCTGTACTTGTGGCAAGTCTAACGCATTTTTCTACTTGGGGACCATATGCCGCTTATCATGGGTCACATTGAAGGTTCCATGATAACCACCATATGAGCACATCTGCGGATGTTTCAAAATTCAAAATTGTACCAGTTCATGTTAAATGTTTAATTCTGCTAGGGCACGTGGACGGTAGTTTGCACATAACAGTACTGACTATGAACAGGCTCAATCAAATCGAGCCAGCAACATTTTCAATTATGCCGTGTTGGGCTTTCTTTAGGGATTCTGTTTTTCTTTATTTTAAATATATCACGGGACATTACAAACACCAGAAATACATGACGCATTAAGAGATATAAAAGAAGCATATCTGTAGTTATTGACGCCCATCATAATGTCACATATTTAAAAGGCATTAACAAATGTAAAGCATGAAAGCAAAAGTTTCTGCAAAATACTTTCTATGACATGCTTTAAAATGACACAGTATATCTCTTTGTCTTTCTATCTACTTTTGCAATTTATATGGATTGAGATAGACAGTACACAGGTAGGGGACTATAACATTGTCTGTTGCAAGCCCTTGTTTTTTCTGGAGTTTTTTCCCTTGAACTCTTTGTTTCGTCTACACGCCGATTTTACATAACATTTTTATAAGCACTCATAAAAAATGTATTGGTGCATATGTCCCCAACTTTTCAAATGAGTCATTTACTACGACGTAAAAGCAAATACATGAAGTTCAGTATTGTTTTCTGGTATCATAGTAATATTACTTTGCAGATTCGTGTTTGTATTTGACGGGTCTTCTTTGCACAATATAAGGCCCAAAGCCCTAAAATAGAGAAAATAAGACAGTCCAAAACGGCAAAATTGAAAATGTTGCAGGCTCGTTTTGATTGCGCATGTTCATTGGCGGCACTGTCAAGTGCAAACTACCGTTCACGCCCCCTAGCACCTGTTTAAGCAGAATTCAACATTTAATCATGACAAAGGTGAAATTTTGAATTTAGAATCATCCGAAGATGTCTTTAAACGGCGGTAATCATGGAACCCATGTATATAACCCATATAACCCAAGCAATATGTCCGCGAGATTCCTTCGTGCGATGGTCGTTTTTTGTACCGGCAATTTGTTCTTTCTGTATATAAAGTGTATCAATTTTCGTAAAAAATACCATTTTCTCGAGCCAACTGTGAAAACACCGTTTGTATGATCTCTTTGCAGATTCGTTTTTGTTTTGATCTGTTTTGAGTGTCTTTGCACAATATAATGCCCAAATCCCTAAACAAAGCAATATGTCCGCGAGATTTCCTCGTGTCATGGTCGTTTTTGTACCTGCGATTTGTTCATAAAGCGTATCAATTTTCGTAAAAGACAGCATTTTCTCGAGCAAACCGTGAAAACGCAATTTGTCTGACTGCTTTGTAGATTCGTTTTTGTATCATTTTGGAGGGTCTTCTTTACACAATATGAGGTCCAAAGCCCCAACCTAAGCGATATGTCCGCGATATTTCCGTGTGCCATGGTACTGGTAATTTGATCTTTGTGTATATAAAGTGTATCAACTTTTGTAAAACACACGATTTTCTCGAGCCAACTGTGAAAACAGAATTTGGCTGATTCCTTAAAAGGTTCGTTTTTGTATCAGTATCTGTCTTTTTTGCACAAAACCAGGCCCAAATCAATATGTCCGCGATATTTCCACTTGGCATGGTCGTTCTCTGTGCCGGCGCTTTGTTTTGTTTATTATTATATATAAAATGTATTAAATTTTTGTGAAAGATACCTTTTTCTCGAGCCAACCGTCAAAACGCAATTTGATTCCTTTGTAGATTCGTTTCCGTATCAGTTTGGGGTTTTCTTTGCACAATATAAGACCCAAAGTCCTAACCTAAGCTATATGTCCACGAGTTTTCGCATGTCCGCGAGTTTTTCGAACATGCGACCTTCAGAATAGGAGTCGGACACTTCTTTCATCATATGCTCCTGAAACGGTTATAGAATTATAGAAATTATAAACATTGTTTGCAGATGTGTATCCAGGTTTCAATAATGGGTATAATACGTACATATTCCAGTGAGTGTTTCAATAATGGGTATAATACGTACATATTCCAGTGAGTGTCTCAATAATGGATATAATACGTACATATTCCAGTGAGAGTTTCAATAATGGGTATAATACGTACATATTCCAGTGAATGTTTCAATAATGATTATAATACGTACATATACCAGTGAGTGTTTTAATAATCGGCATAATACGTACATTTTCCAGTGAGTGTTTCAATAATGGGTATAATACGTACATATTCCAGTGAATGTTTCAATATGGGTATAATACGTACATATACCAGTGAGTGTTTTAATAAACGGCATAATACGTACATTTTTCAGTGAGTGTTTCAATAATGGGTATAATACGTACATATTTCTGTGAGTGTTTCAATAATGGGTATAATACGTTCATATTCCAGTGAATGTTTCAATAATAGGTATAATACATATACGTATATACATATTCCAGTGAGTGTTTTAATAATAGGCATTATACGCGTACATATTCCAGTGAGTGTTTCAATAATGGGTATAATACGTACATATTCCAGTGAGTGTTTTGATAATGAGTATTATACGTACATATTTCAGTGAGTGTTTCAATAATGGGTATAATATGCACATATTCCAGTGAGTGTTTCAATATAATACGTACATATTCCAGTGAGTGTTCGGTATTTTACTAGTTTTCCAAAGACATCATGAATGAACTCGTTTACTAGCAAGACAAGACTATATTTATATAATCTAATTTAACAAGATCTTGGTCTGTGGATTGGTCTTGATTTTAATGCATTTTTCAACTGAAGATGATGTTAGAAACCCTGTCTTGACAATCAGCTTATGGTAACTGACAGTGTTACAATTTCTTTTGTAACATTTACTATCGAAATGTTTGAAATAGGATTGATTATATTGTTAAAGCGATTACTATAGATTAGTTAACTTAGATCTTCCTATCTGTATTTTTCTTATGCATTCTGTTATAACATGTTACCGACATTAAAGCGTACATTAAGAAATAAAAGCAAAATCAAAATTTAAAAAAAATGAATAATAAAAATACCATACAAATTTAATGCAAAATACAAGTTAGAAATGAAACAATATGCAAGAAACAAAGTTAAATACCCCCGCAAAGTTTTAAAAGCATTTATTTACCGTAATTTAATACTTTATTGTATCATAGTTTGGAGACCTTTCTGTTGAAAATGTGTCAGGGTTAAATCGTAAACATATACATGCACAGTGCGTTAATTGGAGTGCGGGTATTAGTTACCCGCACTCCAGAGCATGCCCATTGATTGGCTCATTTTTGCTGGGGTTTACATATTGTGACGGCAGAGAACGAGAAAGCGACAGATATGTCATATTCAGATGTTCGTTCATTGGTTCATTTTTGCCGGGGTTTCATATTGTGACAACAGGGAACGTGCTTTTATGTTTGACTATGATACAAAAGAGAAAGAACACCCAAACACTCGGCAATCTGATTAATACTCGGGGGCTACGCCCCCTCGTACAAATCAGATAGCCTCGTGTTTCGGTGCTCTTTCTATTACGAACCTAGGAGTTTTTTTTCCAAAATGCCCTAATTTGGCGATTTTGCAGATTTTGACGAAAATAAATATTGTCAGAATATTCAAATACATACATAGAAATAATTGTTCTATGCAGAATATTTATACCAATTTTCAAAGCGCTTTAATCGAAAACGAAGTCACAGCCAAGTTAAAAAAAACATGTATTTACCGTGGACCTGATTACGCCCGTTTGATTATTACGCGACACTGGACTGATCAATATGAAGGTAGCTCTTAGTTGGGTCGATTTCTGTTATAACAAGTGCTAAATGATGCAGAAGAAAGAAATAACCCTACAACTGTCCTAGAAGTAAAATATGAAATCTCATGAAATTCATTATATTTCATACTATATTCTAGATGAATACACTGATATAAAAAATCATAAAACTTCTTTTTTTCAAATTATGTACAAATGTTCTCGCATTCACACGTTTTTATCTGAATGAAAAAAGCAACAAAAAACATGCCCGCGTAATATCTAATCCGCCTTCATAATATGATAAAGTACGAATCCGCCCTTGCTGTTTATTTTGCACACGGCACGAATCCCGCGTTAAAGTGTCGTATTGAGCCAGTTGACAGCGGCGAATAGTTGAATAGTTTACGCTGAAAGGCTGTTACATTTATTCTCATAAAGTGAGGTTGGATTGATTTAAACAGATAAAAACATGCCTAAGTGTCCAAACTGTAATAAGGAAGTTTACTTCGGTAAGTCAGTAGTTAAATTTCTTTTTACAATATTTCAATGTTTTTAGGCGAAAGAAGGTTATAAACTGATAAATGTCTGTACTTTATAGGGAGAGATGCTGATATCAATCAATACAACATTATTCATGCAAACATATAGCTTGATAAACAATAAGATATTGCAATTATAAGATCAATAAAATATTCATATACAAGTAACATATTAAGCATTTATAATAAGTAAAAGATTCGTGTGTATTCTTCATCAAAATGATGGAAAAATAAAATGAGCAAGTATGTTGTTTATTAAACTCTTTACCTATCTATAAAGAGCTATGGTATGTTAAGAAAACATACATGTTATAAGGAAAGTATCCACGAAAACTTCAGTTCATACGTGTGTATATAAACAATGCATGCATTAAATTTTGTCATTTGACTCATATTAAGTGACTTAATGAATGGTTGTGATTTTCCTGGTCACAAATCGAACGAAACAAAGCTAAATAATTATAGAAACAATCATCAGGACTACAGTATTGTATCTGAAAAATATTGTAACATTATCTAATATTATATTTCCTCAATTCAAAATTAAATATGTGTAAATATATATTTCTACAAAGGAATGACTATACATGTATAAGTGACATCCGTGTATATGTAATAATAAATAAGTATGACAGGCCAAAGCTGCCGTAAATAAAGCTTGATCAATTGCACATCCGGGCAGTCTGACCAGTACATTAGCTGTCGTCTGCTCAGGTTTGTTTCTTTCAATTAAAACTTCTTCAAAATATGATCAAACTATGATAAATATAAATCCCCTAGTATACAAGTCAAGACAAGGCCTATGTACCCTTTTTTACTAAATCGGTTTACTAAAATGTTAAAGAAAAAAAACTTGAATATTATAATTATGTTATGCATAAGACCATAAATCGATCACCAATAACATGGTCTTAAAAAAAGAATATGATTAAAATAATTCGTGGGTGTGTTCGAGGCGAAACTTAATTTTGAAACAATTGCCATTTATTATTTACATATACCATGGCCTAAAATTCGCAATATAGTACAGTAGTATTTTAATTGCCATTTCCTGTGGGCGTGGCAGTTGCTGTAGTATCACTTTAGTTTTAAATATGTGTGTGTGTGTTTCTTAACTTATGAGTAAAATATAATCACCAAGCGCGACTCTCGTATCACTCAGTGAAGATATATGATAGTGTGATAAAATGTTTAACATTGTTTACAATTCATGGTTCAAGATGTTTACATATGAGCGAAAATTTGTAATGAAGATAAAAGTATAGTAATGGGCGGAAACTATATGACTCACTTTATGGATTTAATTTGATGTATGAGTAGTGAAAATTACATTTAACATTTGATTCAAGCACCTCTCCTCTACATGCATGTTGAAAAAAGGCCGTTATGTGTACTTTAACCTGGCCTATGGCTCAAGCTTCACACTACACACAAAAATAGTCCGTGCTCTGTTAAAAGCGGGGGAACCGTTAAACGGTTTCAGATTTTGCATAAATAATGCGCAGCTTGGATTGTAAATTCTGTAACTGTTATTTTATTTATGTTATGTCTAATTGTTTGAATCTTGTTTCCTCATCTAGGACAGCTGTTGCCCTTGAATTATTTTCCTGTAGTTATTCTAAAAGTATTAAAGCATATTATTCAGTAATTTTCATAAGTTTTATCTTTAAGCGAAATAGTTTCCGCCACATAGGTTATTACCAACACAAACTCACTCATGTATATCTAATTTAAGAAATTTATTCAGACGAATCTAATACTCCCAGCGTGAAATTCTCGTATAAGATACCGAATGTTGATGATCTATCACCTTTTCATAATATATTACTTTCTTAACAAAATAAATATACATAAAGATTGTAATATCATTAAAAAGGGCATGCATTGGCCATATGACATCGGGTTGAAAAAAATGTGCGCGACCATACGACCATTATAGGCACATGTATATCTCAGAAACTCATATTTTCTAATTCTTTAGAAATCTCAAACATGTGTTTGATAATGTTTTAATAATGGATTTAGAGCATGTTGGAAGTTTAACAACTGAAGAGAGTAGTCTGAGCGTGCAGTAATGTGTCGTTTAGGTAGGTAAACAAAGTATTACATTGACTTCCATACATAATACTTATTCACTTTATAGTTATACCAATTTTAAACAGAGCACAAGAATCAAAGTTAGTTCATATATGCGACAAAAACTTATTTTTTGAAAAATGTAAAAAGAAAAAAAATCAAGTTTTTGAGAAATGAAAGCATTTCTGAGGGATAATAGGCCTTTAATTATAATAATAATAGTCCTAGCGGAACATATTTATATAAACACACTCAGAGACCCTATAGGGGAAATCCGTTTTATTGAACATGATTATCATTAAATTTTAAACTTGAATTAAAATGGATTTCAAAAGAAAAGTGAATGTTTAATATTATCTGTATAAAGTTTTTATTAAAGTTTAAAAGTTCTATTCAACATATTATGATAAGAAATATCTTCAGTGAGAGAATCTGCTTCCCTGGTTAGTTAAAAAATAAAATAAAACAACAACAACATCAAAAACACAACAACAACAATAATTTATTGTTTGCCACTAAATGTTTAAAGGTGCATACAACAGTGCTGTTTATCGATAGTTGGTGTGGGAAGAAACTATTTTATTTTAAGCATAGCATAAAATCCGTTTGTGTTACCATGTGTGACAAATATTTGATTTATTGCAAAATCATCAGCTATTTCATTTACATCGTGATCTACATATTACTCATAGCTTCATGTATTTGATGTGTTAAACAAAATGGTTACATTACACTAGGTTTCCCCATATTACCTAAACACCTGTCACATGCTATGATACAATTAAAACGGCAGATTTGCATGAATGAAGCAGCAAAGCTGTCATGTCAGTAATATACGGAAGCCGGAAAGGAATATAATCGCACGAGGGAGCGAAGACTTCGTAAGATCTAATAGGCATTTTTTTTTTTAAACAAATGTAACAAACAAACAACTGAGGAGTACATGTACTTAAATCTCTCCTATCTCTATATTTAAGTGTTATAATATTTTGTTGATTGCAATGCTTATGAATTCTTTCATAGATAAATATGAGATAAATTTCACAGGTGGTATGCATTTAAGATAAAGAACTTTAGTTCACAACTAAGCTCGAATCTTTTCTGTTGTGCAACTGATGCCTGTAACGTAAGAAACATAGCAAGTGACTTAAATTAAGGGATTTTGATATACGATTAAGGTTGTCTTACTGTAATGGTTTCCCGCCAAAAAAGCTAACATCGGTCAATATCGTAGCAAATCGGTTATTTCCGGAACGTTATTTTTTTTCAAAATCCTCGGCATTAGATTATTTACAATCACTCATCCTTTATCACTATGTACTAAATGCCGGTTATAAACGGTTAAATATTTTGAATACGGAAGAATGATGTGAAAAATAACGTTCCGGAAATGACCGATTCATTACGATATTTGGCGATGTTAGAATATTTTGCGGGAAAGCATTACAGTAGGACTACCTTAAGACTCCAGGAAGGTACTACCGGTCTCAAGTTCATGTTCTTTTATGCCTTCACTTACTAATTTTACGGCTCTCAAGCGCTTCCGTATATTGTCTTAATGTATGCAGTAAAATATTAAATCAAAACATGTGCGCATTTATCACGTATCGTCTGCTTAGATCGTATGTCGTCTGCGAAGTCCTCAAATTATGATAAAGTTGAATTATAAAGGGCGTATCCATACGTAACTAACACCCACATCGATAGCAACATGATTTATAACCGAAACATAATACAATATTTATGTTGCTGTGTACGTTCAAAATCCATTTCCAATTTATCAAATAAACATTGAAAGGTTTATGTTGTGTTTATCGACAAACAAATTCACTCATGATAAATCGATATGAAGCGCGCATCTTAAAGGTATCTACATTATAAAATGTATCATCAATAACATTAACTCTCAGTCAAATATAGGCTTATTTGGAGACCATATTGACTGCAATGAATTTGAACCTGTACCGTGCTGAATTCACGTAGTTTATATACCAGGCTTTATTTTGGCACTGTTAGTTGTTAGTTTCAACCCTCAAATAAGGTAGATTTTAGGATTATGCGAAACACATGCATGTGCAGGCTGACCTGATTCTATATCTGGTGACATAGACATATCATTTTCGCAAATCTGCGATGCTCACAAAATTGCCTTCATCAGAGAAACAAAAATCATAAATACATGTTTAAACACCTGTCATTATCAGGGAAAAACTTTCATCAAAATCAATATCCATATCAGCTGGTAAGTGTGATCAAAGGTAATTTGATAAAAAAATATAATATCTGGCGTTGAAATTGAACAAAAAGCGAGACATTCATTAACAAGATTGCCATGGTAACGTTAAATTTAGTGTGAACTTGTTATCTTGTTTTGTCATCTAGAAATAATTGAATAATAAGATAATAAGATTCCAAACTTTTGCCCTTTGATTTGTAATACGTAGGAATATTGTTTCTCATTTCTAAACAATTTACTGTCTGTCGTCTGCTTATATTCTTGAATGTATTTCCTGATGCATTATTTAAACATGGTTTTGTCATTATTAAACAGTTATGAATAAAGCTGATTGTATTATAATACGAAACGTATACAAGTACGGGAATATTATGACCATGAATCATACTTTGCACCGCCTCCTCCGGGAAATTAACCGGTCTAAAAGATGGGTGGCAGCTATGTAAACCTCCCGCGTAAATCACCCAAGTGTTCTCATATTTTCTGGTCCTTAAGATGTTGAGTGCTAGGGAGCATATAAGATGTTAAAGTTTCCATAAATACATTCATTAAAACCTAGTCTACTTTGTTGTACATATATTCGTATATATATATTTGTTCGCATCGCCGTCGAGGGATCTCGTTTTTCCAGATTTGTTGAGCAAGGATTTTGGGAAGGACGTGGTCCACATGAGCGCAACATGATTTTGAGCTTCGGCTTAATCACCCCGTCCGTGCTTTGCCTTGTACCCTATCCATTTGTGTCCTGCTGGGCTCCTTGCCGGTGGTCATGTATTGGGACATGTGGGAGTTGCGTTCATTAAAAGCCGCCCTTCCTTGATGATCTTGTTTTTCATATCTAATACAATTGTTATTAATAATATTAACTTAATACATTTCATTATTGTTCTGCGTTATTTTGCAGCCGAGAAGGTGACGTCACTCGGTAAAGACTGGCACAGACCTTGTCTAAGATGTGAGAAATGCAAGAAGACGTTGACGTCTGGCTCACATGCTGAGGTAAATCCGTAGCCTTTATGTTTAACTTCAATAACACCCGTCTGTCAATAACGTATATCTATTTGTCCGTATTTGTATATCTTTGTTTTGTTAATAACACAATTGCGTTTTACATTTTTTAAAGATCCTCTATGTTGTGATCAAAGTGATAAACCACACTAAGTGAAATTATATATATGTACATAATTATGCAAATAAATTTTTTTTCAAACATCGAAGAGTATTTAAAATATGTACTGCAAATATCTGTGCATATTATTTGTTATCATTAAAATATATGCATTTATTTCTTATCGTAAAATTTGACTTAAACTTTATGGAAAATAAATTTTTTATTACCTCCTTTTATTTACATGAAATGTTAAATTCGGTTATATCTTTATAAATAATGTTTTTTTTTTTGAACCAACAATATTGATAAATCTTAATTAAAGCATCATATTTATGATTTAAAATCATAAAAGATTGTGTGCAGGATCTTTAAAAAGTAAGAATATTGGATAAGAATAATGACATTAAATGATAAATTAAATAACTGAATCAATAAATATAACACGGATATTTAAACAACATTTGAACATTTTAAAAGTATCTTCACGACAATAAAGGAAAACAAATTATAGGTCGTCTATAAAATTTAAATTTACGATTCTTGACAATTTATTCAGATTGTATCTATTGGTATAATTTTATGCAACCTCAAACTTTATGCGCCGTCTAGTAAATATGCATTTGTCCGTATAGCAATGGGGAAAATTTTAGACTTAATTTTGTGCATTTTTTTGTTTTAACAAAATCACATTGTTTTCAAATTTTCTAAACAAAAAAGCTTTTTCTGATGTACAACATGTCACAGAGCTTTAATGGATTAAAATAAACGTTTAACTGAAGTGATAGTGCCATGTTTGAATATCATATTCTTTTTATAATTATCTAATTTTATAACGTGCCAATGAGCCAGTCTATAGTCCATCGTTCTTAAACTTAACCGTTGAGAGAGGTAATGACATTTCAGTTCCCCTGGCATATCTTGATGATATATATATATCTATCAATTTATTCATATTTTTAACTATTAATTATTATTTGATATCACAGACAAATTTTTGCTATTTGTAAAATAACAGACAGTTCGTCCTCAAAATCATTCGAACATTATGCAATTCTCACCAATATTTAAATGGACCTATTCTCGGCATATATTGTCTTGAACTTATTTTAAGTTTACCAATCATTTTAATTTTACTTGTTATCCAATTTATTTTGCTTCGACCAGACGTTTTAGTCTTTGTCGCAATAGGCAAACATTTCAGAATTTCAGACACATACCATGATACCAAGAACATGGAGAAATTTACTAGTGCTTCGGATATTCAACTGTAATAGAGAACGATTTTCAATTCTGATTTTGTACATCACCTGTGACTGTTCACATCATTTGGCGGCGTCTTTAATGTGCAACATCACCATTTAACTTGTTAATAACTTTGGACGCCATTTATGTTTATATGTAAGCATTTCATATTTAATGTGTTTTGAAAAATAATTTCAGCATGATGGAAAGCCGTATTGTAATAATCCGTGCTATTCGGCAATGTTCGGCCCTGGAGGTAAGTAAAGTATTTAATATCCATAAAAGTATTAGTATTATTAATGCTTCTAGCTCCTGTTTTCGATAAGAAATATGTGGAGCTATTGGCATGAACCCCTTGTCTGCGTTAGTGTCAGAGTTGCTTAACCTTTTCGTTAAGTAAAAGGCCAATTGTCTCAGAAACTATAAAACCAATTCACTTCAAGCATGATGTACATGTTTAATTTCATAAAACGACACCATTTTAAAAGGACAGATAATCCTATTGTTTGCAAAGTTGTGCACCTTTTTTTCCTATCTTATATTCAACGATTCAGCACTGAGTAAATTGGAGCGCACTGTCCGCGGACAGGTCTTGATTTGCTAAGTGATGGTGCATACATTGCTAATTTGCAATGAAACAATACAATATTTATCCGATATTCATTTTGTGCTGTCAATTGTTACTCTTGATTTGATATCATATTGTAACAATTTAATCATGAAGATCTTTTGCCAGTTTTTCACTACATTGTTAAAGACTTATAATACTTTGACAATACCGTGGCAAACCTAAAGATCAAAGCGCAATAAAACTTAATATATATATTTATGACATACGTCAAAAGGCTTTTTCTGTTAAAAATATTAGAGAAATATTTTTACTTAATAGTTTTATATGATATATGTTTGAAAGTTTCAGACTCAATTTAGAAACAAAGTTTGCGGAAGTTCTTTTTGTTTGTTCGACAGAATTTTATTCCTATTTTATTTGTTGTATAAATAGATCTTTTGTACATTAAAATTTTGTTTTACACTGGAATATGTTAATACCATAAATTGCATTTGTTATAAGTATTAAACAAATTGTAAAGCTCAATAATTTAAACATATGAGGTTGCGATAAAAGGTCACATTTTAGTGATGTTTTAATCTAAAATCTTAAGTGTTCGAATTCTTGTATATGTATAAAACACATTTTAAGTGTAAGTATCATTTTACTAAACAGCTCATTTTTCTTCTTATAGGTTTTGGAAGAGGCGGAGCCGAAAGCTACACATTTGATAAAAAATGAGGATTTTTTAATCTTCTGGTTGACAAATGTTTAAGCATAATTATATACAACCCATTATAACAAATCTATCTTCAATTTAGAAATATTGCTATCATTAAATCTACAAATGTCTAAAGTGCAATTATATAAATTGAAACTAACCGTCAATAAAATGTTTAATTTGAAATATATATTGTTCTTTTATTCAAATAAAAAACCCAGTCATCAGAATGGCAAAGTTGCAGTCTTTGTTTCCTTTAAAGTTATAAACTTTAATTTGCCTTTCTTGTGCGGTGACACACTGGGCACCGGTCATATGCGTATTGTAAGTTTCGCTGAGTGTGTGATTGGATACTGTTTCCGCTCTGCTGCTAGAACTCTATTCTCTCCCTCGTTTTTTTCGTAATTTTCAGTTCTGAAAATGTCTATTTTAAAAGCAGTTACACAATTAAAGGAAGTAGCATTATTTCTATCGGTTGTGAATGAGTTTTTGACTCCATCACTATCTTATAAATGAGGAGACAGTAGGTTGTCTCTGCCCATGAGTGTGCCCCTCTATACGTTATTTCAGGCAATATACCTGAGTAGAACCACCGACATCCCGCAAGCTAGCTGGATAACTTTTTGACGTAAAATCCGACGACGCCTGCGCGGCTCGAACCTACAACGGTTAGAGGCTTGTGGTTTGAAGTCAACGACCTGAACAACTCATTTCAAATAAAAACAACAGCCATGAGGGGGAAATAATTCGATATGAATCTTTTATCAATGGACCTCACTTACTTTCAAAGAAGCATTTGTATAAAAAAATACAAATAGTATCCCATGCATAGGTTTTTTTTGCGGTAAAAAGGTCTAAGGTCAACAATTATTCACGTATATATCTACGATCCTGTCAAAATCCGTTAAGAAAAGTGTCCAGTGTGTCTAGTTCGTGAAGTGAATTATATTCACTAAATGAATAGTGTCAAGACGTAGTGAGTTATGTTCACTGAATAATAGTGTCCAGTGTGTCTTGTCCGTGTAGTGAGTTATGTTCACTGAATGAATAGTGTACATTGTGTCTTGTTCGTGTAGTGAGTTATGCTCACCGAATGAAAAGTGTCCAGCGTGTCTTGTTCGTGTAGTGAGTTATGTTCACTGAATAAATAGTGTCGAGTGTGCCTATCCGTGAAGTGAGTTATATTCACTAAATGAATAGTGTCCAGTGTGTCTTGTCCGTGTAGTGACTTATGTTCACTTAGTGAATAGTGTCCAGTGTGTCTTGTCCGTGTACTGAGTTATCTTCACTGAATGAATAGTGTCCAGTGTGTCTTGTCCATATAGTGAGTTTTATTCACTGAATGAATAGTGTCCAGTTTGTCTTGTCCGAGCAGTGAGTTATATTCACCGAATGAATAATGTCCAGTGTGTCTTGTCCATTTAGTGAGTGATATTCACCGAATGAATAGTGTGCAATGTGTCTTGTCCATGTACATGATGTAGTGAGTTATATTCACTGAATGAATAGTGTCCAAAGCGTCTTGTCCGTGTAGTGAGTTATGTTCACTGAATGAAAAGTGTCCAGTGTGTCTTGTCCGTGTAGTGAGTTATGTTAACTGAATGAATAGTTTCCAGGATGTCTTGTCCATGTAGTGAGCTATGTTCACTAAATGTATAGTGCCCTATGTGTATTGTCCGTGTGGTGAGATATGTGCACTAAATGAATAGTGTTCTATGTGTCTTGTCCATGTAGTTGAGTTATGTTTTCTGAATGAATAATGTCCAAAGTGTCTTGTACGTGTATTGAGTTATTTTTACTAAATGAATAGTGTCCTATGTGTCTTGTCCGTGTAGTGGGTTATGTTCACTGAATGAATAATGGTCTATGTGTCTTGTCCATGTAGTGAGTTATGTTCACTGAATGAATAATGTCAAGAGTGTCTTTTCAGTGTAGTGAGTTATTTTCACTAAATGAATAGTGTCCTATGTGTCTTGTCTATGTAGTGAATTATGTTTACTGAATGAATAATGTCCAGAGGATCTTGTCCGTGTAGTGAGTAATGTTCACTAAATGAATAGTGTCCAGAGTGTCTTGTCCGTGTAGGGAGTTATGTTCACTGAATGAATAATGTCCAAAGTGTCTTGTTCGTGTAGTGAGTTATGTTCACTGAATAAATTATGTCCAGAGTGTCTTGTCCGTGTAGTGAGTTATGTTCACTGAATGAATAATATCCAGAGTATATTGTCAATGTAGTGAGTTATGTTCACTAAATGAAATAGTGTCCTTTGTGTCTTGTCCGTGTAGTGAGTTATGTTCACTAAATGAATAGTGTCTTATGTGTCTTGTCCGTGTAGTGAGTTATGTTCACTTAATGAAAAGTGTCCTATATGTCTTCTCTGTGAAGTGAGTTATGTTCACTAAATGAATAGTGTCCAGGGTGTCTTGTGCATGTAGTGAGTTATGTTTACTGAATTAATAATGTCCAGAGTGTCTTGTCCATGTAGTGAGTTATATTCACTGATTGAAAAGTGAGTGCTCAGCGAATAATTTTGCTAATATAGTGCAGTTGTGTTCGCAATAGCTAACCATTAGATATAGAAAATACAGTAAACTTCACTTATAGCGAACACGGTTATAGCGAACTTCCGGTTATAAGGAACAATTTATTTTGGCCCGAATTTTGCCCTTCTTTATTTCATATAAAAATATACGGTTATAGCGAACACGGTTATAAGGAATTATCGCTTATAAGGAACTCATTTCTTAGTCCCAATTTAGTTAAAAGTGCATAAAATTACACTTTTATAACGAACTACAAATATCGTCTATTCGTAAATATATCCCGCATTTTCAACTTTCGTTTTCATTGGCACGGAATAAAACTCGCGGAATGTACCGTTTATTGTTGTATGTAATTCAATATATGAAAATGAATTTGTATAGAAGTATGTAATAGTTTTCTATTTAGAATATTTTTAGCTTGAGTTCTTGTCACAAAAATAAAACGGTAATTCCTTTTATTCTATAATTTCTTTTCTTTAATAGTTTGCTCGAGTAAAATAATTATCGGTTTTCAACATAATCACGCATGCTTGCAAACATAATCCATAGAAAACTACAAAGTATGCTTGATTGAAATGAAAAGAAATCTATATATTATTAGTTAAAGTCACCCTTAAAATATAATAGAAGATACTCAATATAAAAGGAAGAAAAATGGAAAATCTTGTTTTTTCTTATTGATTGAAAGAAAACGAAAAGCACAGTGCAGTGAGTTAAGAAACAAAATATGATGTTTATGAAAAATTGAGAAAGGGAGTAAAACTAAAACTGAAATAGCAAAGGATTTTCAAATTCCAAAATGTACGCTCTCGGGTATTGTGTCTAAAAAAGAAATAAATGATTAATTATTCTTAATCAAATGCTCTTAAAAATGGCGGACGATGTTTAACAATCAGTTCGTTATATGTAAATCTGTTCGCTATAAAAACTCCTGATACAAGGAACTAATTCGCTTTATGCTTACAAGGAACTCCGGATATAAGGAACAGATTTTGAATGTCCCAATGAGTTCGTTATAAGCGGAGTTTACTGTAACTCTATTTAATCAGAAACAACTAATCTTCAGTTTTGTAGTAGGGAATCAAATTTGCAAGTGCTTGATATGTAAAGTCACACAGTGTTTCCAACGTATCACATCGTAAAAAACTGTTTTTTGCTAATCAAATACAGCTAAAACGGACAATGTCTGTCAAAACGCGTTGCTGAGACATCGTTCATTCTAGAACGGACAACGGTCACATTTTTTGAACATGACCGGACAAGAAACATTCAGTTAGAATAACTGCAGTGAATGAAAGTAATACTGTAATATTTTACCTTAAATTATTGATAGGAGCGGAAATCGGACAATGCATGCGTCACAAATTTTTTAACAAACGCTAATGTTTATTTTTAAAATATTTAACGTTAACATTGTGTGCAAGAAAAGATAGAATTTCTATGACTTTGCGAAGTACATTGACGAAAATGTCATGTTCACATAAATGTTTTACTTAATTCGCGACAACAACAGCAGAATCCAATGAGTTAACAAACCATTTGAAATTGAAAAGATTGGGCCAATATTCTATATAGGGCTTTACACTTTTAGAAGGACTCAGTTGATCTTGGGCTCTATTAGTAAAAAAGGTTAACCACTTTCGCTTTTTTATTTATTCAAATTTGCCATTCAGTACTATCGCGATTCTAAATTTTCCGTTTTTAAGAAACATTAAATAAAAACAATGCATTTTATATGTATGTACGAATTTGAAATCAATATCCATATTGTTCATTCATATTAATTCTTGCTACACAAACTCTTAGAAAAATATTTGTAACAACTTACTTTTCATACAATTTTTATGAATCAATGCAAGGAAAATGGATGATTCAGATTTTAGTTTCGTGTTTCGCCATGTTTTTCTGTAACACCATAATGTTAAGTTAAATAATAAATGAGAATTAAAAAAATAATAGATACACGTCAGACCCATTATGTTATACTTTCATCACGTAAATAACGTTGTTATGACGTAATCATAATCTAATTTTCTGACGTAACTTGTCATAGAAACGACGTATATATAAGATATCAACAAGTAACGGTATGTAGATGCGTTTTATTATTATTATTATTAAAATTATCATTATTATTATTATTATTATTATTATTATTATTATTTATAATTTCTTTATTATTACGTTTTACCGAATGTTATTGTCAGCAGTAAAAATATTCAAAATGTTACAAAACTAATAAAGTTTTAATAATCCTATCATTTTTAGCTCGATTGTAAATCACAATTAATTCGATCCACTCGGCTTCCGCACATGGCTATGACTCCAGTATGACTCGGGCCTACCATCTCTTCAAAGATTTAGAAAAAGACACCTTAACAATAAATTCCCCTGCCACTCTCAATATGTAGTTTTGAAAAAGTGAAACTATGTTTTTTTATCTCTCTCACATTCTCACAACAATATTTCAAATAAGTCGACTATGTTGAATAAACAGATTTGTTGTGATCACAATAAATGTGTATAAAAATCTTTTTTTACAGTGAATTATGAACAGATTATCAAGAAACGATTACAAAGCACACTTAAGAATGGACACAGTTTGTTCATCAAAAAGGGCAAAGTCATCATATGGCACATATAGAGGACATGATTCCCAAAGAAAGTCAGCAAATCGAAGGAAAGGTAAGATTAAAAAAAATTCTCATAACTGGCCCGGTTAAGATTGTGTATCAAATGCTAAATTAAAAGAATTTTATTGTACAGTTTAAAAAGGAAACTTCTGCAGATGTTATAAAACTTGATAACATTTTAGTAATAATTTGCTTTACAAGGCAATAGCAAATGTTCTGTTCCCTCCAATCAACGTGGTACATCAAATAGAACATTGCATCATCATAAAGTTGTTCACTAGATTTTTACATTCTGGTTTCGTTACATTAGCAACAGATGACAAGACCTCACAGAAGAAAAGGCGAAGTAAGAGCGCTTTACCACCACAAGGTCAGAGGAGGTCGATGCCACAAAAACAAAGTCAAGTTGGACAGCACAAAAGACGCAAAGCCGGACATATTAGCTCTAAAGTTGAAATAAGAAACCAGTCTGCATATGGTAAATTAATTTTGAAACAAATTTTCAAACAAGTTATATTGATAACTACATGAATTCGGAAAATTACAAACATGTTTAAAAAATTAGACATCAAAGACAACCTCTTACAACTGCTAATAGTGACTTATATAAAACTTATTTAACGGTTTGCGAAGTCTTTCATTGTTATGATATTTTATTACCGAGTCTGATTGCAAAACTTTTACAAAAGGAAAAATATACAAAAAAATATATATCTGTTGTGTAACGGGCATTTCTTTGCAAGCAATGTATTTACTTTACATTTAATATCAATTGCTGAGTAAAATCTAATGTTGGTTTATGCTTTAAATGGACTTACTTTCTTGTTGTTTTTCTAGAGTTGAAGATGTACCTCGACGATAATTATGACTGCGTGCAACATACACACAATGAAAGAGAAACTCCCAAAGTATCCGCTCCGCAATGGAAGGATACAAAAGTGTCAGAAGATGTATTTTCAATGTGCCAATTGAAGTTAAAAAGGTAAGTAATTTATACAATGATATACATTAATTTCTTTTTTCCTAGCTCATAGTGTCAAAAAATGACCATCATACTTGTTTTCATGTGTATATTTGAAATGAAAACTTTTCTGTTTAAGAGGAAGAAAAACCTTTTTTACCAATGCTTTTTTTATCTTGAATATTAAGCATGTCATAATTTACGATTGCATTTTTATAGGTCGTTTGATTTTTTTAATGTTAAACAGGGATGATCGAGAAGCAGACGACATCCATTGCCAACCCGCAAAACAGCAGAAGCCAAACAGTCAAACTGTGAAATCTACTCAACATGGCAACTTAGACCAGAGCATTACAGATATCTGCCCAAAATCACAAGCTACAAGCACTCGGCAAATCAGTGAGAAGTTATTACAATATGATATAAGGAATGAGTTGACAGACAGGAAGAAAATAAAGAAAGGATTTTTCACCAGCGCCTATCGCGCTGTTCTTGCTTGTTTTGGATTTAAAAATGACAGAAAATGAAATGATCAATTCGGACATTGTTAAAGAATGCACTTTGTATTAAAATCGTTTTATTTCAATGATTCATTTTGACAACATAAAGTAAAATTATAGATCTTTTTTTTTTTTAAATTTTTCGTTTTGTTTTCTTTGATGTTTTATTTAAATAAATGTTTACTTGAAAGATATGCAATATGTTAATGATACATGAATGCCTGATGCAAGTCTTTTAAATCCAGTGTCCCGTTAGACTTTCGAAAATTAATGTATATCTGTTTCTAGTATTTTCTCAGAACTTTGCGAACAAGAAACTTGTTGTTATCAAGAATGACAATTTTTCTGTCCAAAATAAAGAACTTGACTAGCAAAATGCTTTGATACAAGAGGGTATAATATATTTAAATTTTTGGATGAAGACGACAGGACTTTCAGGCATGTACTTTTTAAACCTAATAACAGTTAAGTTTTACCATGTCCATTAAGGCACATACACGCGCGCGCGGTGATTTAATAAAGTCAAAGTCAGCCTATGTACATGTATAGGTTGAAGCCTGAACGAAAAGTTAAAATTTCTATGACTTGCGAAGTAAGTTAGCGGAAAGGTCATGGCCACATAAAGGTCAAAGAGAATGTTTTACTTAAGTCTTTATTTGCCTAGAAAAGAAAAGACCACGCCCTTAACGGCCTATATAGCACGTCCGTGCATTAGATTGAGTCTGTTCAGTGAGACATTTTTTTCACAATTTTTTTTTATTATTTTTTACGAACAGTCGCAATCAAACCTTCTGAAATTTTAACATAATATTAATGGTTTATTTGCTTCTGATGATCTTCTCTTTTACAGACTTTGTTGTTTGGTATAAGTAAACTGATTTATTCCATAGAGCCTAAATAAACATTATGCAGTGTGTGAAGAAAAAAAGACAGTGTACAAGTTATCTGTCTATAAAATATTAAACGTTCAAGAACATATGTACTAAAAGCCAATCAATCCATTCACGGGGTAAGTTTTCAACATTTTAAATACATGTATTTATGAAAAATTAAAAGCTGTTTTCGAAAAAGAAATGTTATTCTACCCTCCTGATTGTCCTCTATATTTATCCATGTTGGTTTAGATTTTTATGCAGTCTTCGTCGAGATATTCTTTCCGCCGTTGGTTTTGATGCGTCCAAAGCATATGCATTATGTAAGAAGAAAGTGTCACTAAACGGACTCAAAATATATTTTTAACATAATTTTACCACCGAACGATGCTTAACATTCAAACAAACCCTTATTGAAACATTTATTAAGAGTTGGCTCCTAACGAAGGAATCGCCGCTCAAAATTCCATCTCAGCTCCATATGTGCTGAAGAGATCCATCTGTGCGTATCAAAAATCATCATTATGACGGATCACTTCCATAAAATAATCTATGGTTTGTTATTTTGTTACGTATTCTCAGAGGGAAATTATTTATATATGAGTAGTATTCGGTCTGCGCAAACATTTTTTGGACTTGGTATTTTAAATATTTTTGTGCTGGCATCAGATAGTTAGCGAATTCATGTAGTGGTATTAATTATCAAACACAATTATTTTACTGATGAACTTTCAGACAAAGCTACCACACCTTAACTGTTCATTTAGATTACCTATTTAATGTTGGAAGTGATCCGCAGTTTTATAGATGTTTTTTTATGTCACCTATTGATCTCTTCAGCACATATGAAGCTCGACTGGAATTTTTACCAGCGATTCCATAATTTTAAGCCAAATCATAATAAGTGTTTCCAAAAGGGTTTGTTTGAATGTTTAGAATCGTTCGATGGTAAGATTTCGTAAACACTTACCCCTTGATTGATCTATATTCTCTTTCATATATGGTCAGCGGTAATTCACATATAATTTTTTTCCGCTGTTCAAAATATTTCAGATCTATATGGGGTTTACACCCCCCGCCAACCACCTACTACCTCCGGGCTATTACATTTGCCATTTATTTTGTATTTAAATATTTTTCTACTAAAAACGTTTCGTTCCTGTTACTTTTGTACTTCTTTTCAGTAAGAAAATCTACCGTTATTTTATACTTTAATATTTTATATGGTGACAGTGTGACAGTACGATGGCGAAGCACGACAGCACGTATTGTCACCAATATTGTCGTATCAATTAAATAAAAACATGGAAGAAAACGTTGACCGTGTCATAAAGTCTCATTTCAACAATGGCCTAACATACACGTTGATGAGAGAACTACTCGTAGTAGTTTGAAATTGAGGTTGAAAAAAAATCCAGGTCTTTTAAGAAAATGCTATATTTTACAAATAAGTCAGATACAAAATTTCTAGATTAGGCCTATCTGTTGAAATACATTATTTGATGACACATTTTTACATTTCTATCATAAAGCTCTATATTTATGTAGATAGATTTTGATTCTGTTAACTTTCGATTTCATTGATAGTTAATCTTTGATAGGTTTTTTTATAAAACGCCGGTATAAGTTCTAAGTTTCGCAAGTCATGTTGAGTGAAATGTTTGCGCATGCTCGTCAGGAAGGCGACAGTACAATGGTGACAATACAACAGTACGATAGTGACAGTACGATGGTGAGACAGTACAACGTACAGTACGATTGACTGTCAACATCGTATTGTCGTGTTTCTCCATCATACTGTCGTATTGTCACTATCATACTGTCACCATTGTATTGTCGTACTGTCACCATCGTACTGTTGCACTGTCACCATCGTACTGTTGCACTGTCACCATCGTACTGTCGTATTTCTCCGTCATACTGCCATATTGTCACCATCATACTGTCATAATCGTACTGTCGCACTGTCACCATCGTACTGTCGTGTTTCTCCATTGTACTGTCGTATTGTCACCATCATACTGTCGTACTGTCACCATCGTATTGTCGTTCTGTCACTGTCGTACTGTCCCTTTCGTACTGTAATGTTTCGCGCTTTCTGTTTTCAGAGAAAACGCGCTGGCCCTAACGAAAAAACGTGATTTTTATGTTTTGCCATGTTTATCCTTAAGGCTTGTACAATATCTTCTTGTGCTAAGTGAAAAAATTATACGATTTACAAATAAAAGATGCATGCTATACCCATCCTGTTACCTTTATCACGTCAGTAACGTTGTGATGACGTCATAATAATAATCTAACTTTCAGACGTAACTTATCATGGAAATGACGTTCCGCAACATTAGATATCAACACGTAACGGTATGTACCTGCGCTTTTTTATTATTATTTATAATATTTTTCTTAGGAAATTTTACTGAAAGTTATGGTCGGTAAAGATATTCAAAATGTTACAAAACTTAATCAAGTTTAAATGATCATTATATTTTTTATTTACTTTAGCTCCTTTGTGATAAAAGCTTAAACACAATGATTTCCCTCCATTTTCAATTCCGCTTCCTCGCAAAATGGTTATGACTTCAGTATGACTTGTACCCACTAAATCTTTAAAGGCTTAGAATGTGGCATGGTAACAACAAAATATCCTGCTACTCTCAATTTGTGAAAATTGATTTGATTTCGGATCTCATTTTAACAAAAAAGATGATCGAAAATCTTGAATAAATTGTGTTTTTGTTTGTTTGTTTTTTTTGTTGGTTCCTTTTTTTTTTGGGGGGGGGGGGAGGGTTGTGAGCACACATATGTATGAAATGTTTTTTTTTTACAGTAAGTATGAATAGATTAACCAGAAACGACTACAAAGCTCATTCAAGAATGGACATAATGTTCATCAAAAAGGACAAAGTCGATATGTGGCGTCCACATAGACGGCAAGATTCGCAAAGAAAATTGTCAAATCGCAGAAAAGGTAAGATTTTTAAGAATTCTGATTACAAGATTTATTATAATCTTATAACGGGTATTTAAGTCCATTTGAATCATGAATTAATCATGGACAGTGATATCTGTAACTTTGAATACTAGCTAATTTTTAAAAAGACTCTGACTGTTTTCAGTTGATTTCAATGTAAATAAACCCTTTTTTGCCATGATACCCTTTACACGACGATCTTATACTAATACAGTTTACGGAATGTTATTTGCGACAAAGACATGTCGGCTGAAGTAGTAATCATGTCTTCAGTTACTTTTCAATTATAATGTTATGTGGAGAGAACATAGTCAATCGCAACTTTTCGGCCGTTTTTGTCAAACTTCATTTAATCACAGAGGTGTTCCGTTTGGAACATTGCACCATCACAAGTTATTTAATAACGCTTCTTTCTCCTTTTATAATCAGCTGAAGATAAAACCTCACAGAAGAAAAGGCGAAGTAAGAGCGCTTTACCACCACAAGGTCAGAGGAGGTCATTGCCACAAGGACATGGTCAAGCTGGACAACGCACAGTAGGACATAATATTTCTAGAGCAGAAATAAGAAACCAGTCTGCTTATGGTAAATCAATTTGAAAGCATTTATCTGATTACTACATTTTTTAAGACTTTACAAAAATGTTTACATTAATAATAATAATAATAAAAAAAAAAATAATAACGCACCGACGACTGTTAATACTTTGGTATTAAACTTAAACTTTTTTGCATAAGATAATATTTTGATGAACTGATAAAAGTGGTAAGACGTGTATTTATACATTTGGTGTTTATAAATACATTTGGTATCATCACTTGCGGGATAAGTAAAAAGCTATGTTACATAATGCTTTAGTTAAAGGGCCTTTTATTATTTTTCTTTTTTTTTCTTCCCGTGTTAAAGATGTACCTCGAAGATAACTAGGACTGTGTGCAACATACAAACAGATGAAGAGAATTTCCCAAAGAACCCGTTTCTCAACGCCAAAATACAAAAGTGCCAGAAAAAGCTTTTTCTCTACAGGAACCAAATTTAAAAACGTATCAAGTTTTTACAAAGATACAGTCTGTTTATATATTTTGTACTTTTAATAATTGATCAACAAGAATTATTTTCTATCAGAATATTGAAATCAATGTTGCCGTGTTTTAAACAGAGATTTTTTTTACAAATAAATAGTGCAAAAAGAAAAAGTCTTTAATATTGAGCATGCCATAATTAAGGATGAAAATTCACTTACATTGCAT